TTAATGTCGTAAATCATGAAATAAGCAATAAAAAGAACAGAGCATGCAAGCAATTGTTGTAATTCATGATATTGAATTTATTATGAATTAAGAAATAAATGGATCTCGAAAATACCTTGCAGGAAAAACACGATTTTTTCCTAGGGAAACACCAATAACGAACTAGAGCGTGCTGATAACGTGTTGTAAATTGGAACTCTTAATCTTCACCAAGCATTCATCAATCAACTAAGCATAAAAGATGTGCAGTAAAGAACAAGAAAAGAGAAGCAGAAAAGTCTATCTTATTCATCGGTATAATCACCCTTTTATAGGGTTTACAAGAGGGAAGCCCTAGAACCTAATCCTACTGACTAATGGACTTCAGGCCCAATCATCTATTAGTAATGTCCATATTAATATATATTTATAACAGCAGTCATTTGCTTCAGCTTTTTTAACAAACAATTATACCCACCAATTGTTAGAAACAAGGACATTACCATGCCATGCACAAACATAGATATTAAATAAATTATTTCCACATGATCTGTCCGTTTAAATCTACAGCAGGTTATAATCTATTTTTACCTATTTTAATCAGCGTTAAGTCTAAAAAAATATGATTATAATATATTTTCATCTATTTTAATCATCGTTGTTTTTTAGCCAGAACATTAATAAATATGAGCATATTAGAGCTAACTTGTAAAATAATGAATATATACTATATCACTAATACATTTATACTAATATAAATTTGATTTTGGTATACATATTTACTCCTTGATATAAGAGAAAATAACAGTTTTACTTATTCTTGTTCATCATATAACACTTAATTATTATTTTATTATAAACATTTTTTTCATATAATGTCGTTATTATTTATAAAAGTTATATAAGTTGTACGTCTTCTTTTTTTTGTATTTTATGTAATGAAAAATATTTAATGTACGTTTGTATTATTGTTTACGTAATCAATTTAAAATATGTAAAAAAAATTAAAATTAAATAGTGTATAAATATTTTACAAAATAACACAAAAATTTTTAGAATTTAATTTTGTATTACTAATTAAACAATTTTGATTTTGCAAATGCCAAAACTTCAATCACTTTTATAATAAAGATTTTTCTAATTTGTATTATAAGGATTTATAGTTTTTTTAGCATACTCTGCAATGAATTTTTTTTTCAAGAATTTCGTTACAGAAATAAATCAAAATATAAGAAAAAAGATAAAAAAATAATCATGGTTGCCATAATATGCAAATAAATTGTAAAAAAACAGTTAATATATTTCTATTTAATTTTTTACCATTAATAAAACTTTTTGATGTATCTATTGATTATCTCTTAAATAGTAAATTATATTAATTTGAAGAATAATTAATTTTTTTATATAATGAAATAAAGTTTAAAAAATATATTGAGAAGATTAGTTCACCAACTTGATTTCGCCTGATTAATTGGAAGAAAAAAATTCTATATAACATATTACGATTTTCTATAAATATTTTTGGATATAAAGTGAATATTTGTGAAAAAAAAATAATACTATTGTTAGAACTTAAAAGTAATATTTGATCATTAATGAAAAAAATATGTAAAATTATTATTTTCTTTCTGTATGAACACTTAAATATATGTGTTAAAATATTATTTACATTAATATAAACAAGTCACCGAACTAATATATTTTAAAATCTATATATATATTAAGATTTTAAGGTACAAATTCGTCCGTCACACTGGGTGCTTACTAGTGAGTATAATAAAACAATACATACATGTTAATAGAAAGGATTATAACGTGCAAAGATATAAAATCTGAATCTATAAATGAGTTAGAAGACCAAATGAATTAACACGATTATTTTTTTTTTTTTTCTTTTTTTCTTTTTACCATTATCAATATTTGACCAAGTCCGGAGAACTGAGAAGCCATAGTTTCACCGCAGCTCGCACAATAAAAGGACAAAATGGCAGAATTTACCAAATTACGAACAACACTCAATAGCGTTCACTACGCAAAACCAAGTAATTTTAAGGCTGAACAAGAATAATGCTCCTGCGCCACTCCCAATAGTTTGCTCTCATCGGATCAGCCAATTGCAAAACTGAACACACTTTTTCTACAAAATCCAAACCCGTGTTCAGGTTCTGGTCAGACAACACTTCATCAATAGCGTTCTTCAATTCACTACTTGGTTTGTAGTCGTGGCAGCCGAGGAGATCCAAAACCACCTTCAATGCGTGAACATAATCTCTTTTGCCCTTCAAAACATCCACACATATCGATTCTACATGAGGATCATTGGCTATGGATTTAGGATCATTTTTGTAGAGCCCCAGCAGGTATCTCCATGAGCTCTCGTTTTCGGGCTTGGCTAAAATGGCATTAATAGCATAATCAACTTC